ATGTTAATAAATTCATGATTCGAAATAACTTTGATGAATTTGTGGATTCAGTTATTTGTTGTGACATTTCCCAGACATGTATGAAATGTATGATAAACTGGTCAACTACTGCAGAATAATAATCATAACAATAGCCATGTGTGGATGTAAAATGTTTGTAGCATCCCCCTGAATCCAGTCAAGTAGAAAAACATCACATTTAGCTGACCTCGTTACATTCTTGTACTGATCAAAAGTATATAAACAGAGAACTGTTACGTCCGCCTCAATCACTACAATTACATTTGACAGTTTAAATAAATATGTCACACTTACTAGTTTACACAATGTCATGTTTATTTCATTGTCTAATTCAAGGCGTCATAAATAAGTGACTTCTTGGTGTCAGTCATGGTGATATCTGCCCCACTTATCACCTTCATGTTGACTGTGTAGAGACCTGGCGGCCCAACACCAAACATGGGAAGAAGAGACTCGCTCCACTCACCATTCACCTTGGCTAAAACAACCTCTCTGTCGAGGTCAATGAAGGCGATTCTCCCCCTTCCCCACATCCAGCACAACGCCATAGTGGAGGGTGGCCTGTGTGCCGGGTGTGGCAGACATTGTGTTACTGTAACACTTCCCCCGCTTCCCTTGCTGCCACACCTTGGTACAGAGACTCGCCTGGTGTGTGCCACAGCTCCGTACACTGACACACCAGGAGCGGCGCTGGTGACAAACACACCACCCACTGTCTACCCGGCTCTCCTCTCTCACACCCATCTCCATGACAAGCCACCAGAACCCTCTACCCACCACACCCACCCTAGAGTGGGTCTCCCAGTATCGTGGTGTGTGTGGGACAGGGGTGACAGTAGAGGGGGATGGAGGAAGGGGGATGGGGGTGGAGGCACATGTACCTCATATTTCCGTAACCTGCCGCTGTGTCTGTGTTGTGTGGCGGGCGGCGAGTTCACCAGCTCACCGTCTGTAGTTACGTGGCACCAGCCTGTGTTGGCTCGAGCAGCGGACAGTTGTAGTTTAGGACCTGGAAATATACATTTTGTTTACAATTTAAGAAATTTTCCCATACTTCAGACAACAAATTAGACATTTTATTGTCAACCTCGTTTCAATGTTTACAAAACAGCGCACTAAATATCGCCTGCCATTTTCGTCTGTGTGTGAATTGTGTGATAATTGTGCTTTAAATAGAAATTATAACTCTGTGAAAATATTTGTATGGGTATTCTTAATGTTTTTCATACATTTTCATATTGATTGACAATGAAATAAACACTCCATCAAACATTTCGTCAGAAATTGTTAGTTGAGCTGGTTAGCTGTCAGTAGTCAGAAATAGACACTTACCGCCTGAAAACACATATGTATAGTTTATATCACGATAACACTATCATTGTTAGTATTTTAAACTCTTCTTATACGATTTACTAAACAATGAGACCGACAAAGCAGTTGTTGGACGATATTTTTACATCTGAGTGTTCAACAGACATATTGTCGACAGGTAACTTCTATGTCCGCTTCAATCACTGACCACAGTTTGAGCACACTCGCTGAGCGGGGAGGTTGTCGTGTTTTGTGTATCGTCTGTGACATGTACTCTCACATTTTAATAATTTTATTACACAGTTCTCAAACTTGCCATTTTCAGATATCATTACCCTTTTCGTTACAGATTCACCAAGAAATATAACAAGACAGAGAACCCGGAAGACAGCCTACCTTATCGTTCATTCACAAGTTTTGACTTACATGCATGGTAATGGGTAAACATTAATCTTTAAAGATGTCCTATTAATCCTATTTCCTAGCACTCCTTATATTTTGTCCTCGTACAAAAATGGGGTAAAACACGTTAACTCATTCTAGTAAATATTCAATTAACAGTGAACTGTATTATCAGCCTCCTTGCTGAGCGGAGCAATATAACTCCGTGGATGTAATATACTGCTTCAATATAATACTCATTGCAGCACATCATTTTTGCATTTTATTGTTATAATTCTAGGCTTTCATCTTACACATTTCATCGGCATTGACAAACTGACACTAGCAATTGGAAGTTAATTTTATGATGAACAATAAACATTATAAGATAAGCTGTTTTTTAATTTCTTAAAGGTAATGAAAGGAATTTTCTGTGCCTAGCCGTTAGTTTAGACAACGGTGGAACAGTTTTAAACTAAACAGAGCCAATTCAGAATTTCATTATTCACCGTGCCGAGATTAGACAGTGAGCTCGAGTATCGAGGGACAGATAGACCCTGCGGGTGCTTGTAACATGAATCTTCAGTCGTCGGTGAGCAAAAATCACGGCTGGTGTTCCTGTTTCATGTAGTTCTCGTTTACTACAAAGTGGACTGTTGTTATTGTTTTCGATAAAACTCAATAAGAGGAGGATGAGTTTTAACTGAATATATAGTTGGCTGGTTGATTGTTGTTTAACGCCGCACTCAGCAATACTCCAGCTATATCGCGGCAGTCTGTAGATAATTGAGTCTGGACCAGGCAATCCAGTGATCAATATTAGGAACATCGATCTACGCTTGATTGGGATACGATGACATGTATCAGCCATGTCATCCGATCCAGCTAGTCGCCTCTCAGGACAGCGAGCCTGACCACCTCGATCCCGTTAGTCGTCTTTTACACGACAAGTATGGGTTGCTGAAGACCAATTCTAACCAGGATCTTCAAGGGTACGCTGAATATATGACATGTTTATGCTTTTCTAGCCCACAAACGATTATAAGTCCTCCATCGTGCTGGGACGTGCAGTGAGGGCGCCATGTGAGCAGATTCTTATCAACCTGTAGACAGGACATTACTCCAAATGTTGGCATCGGCCGCAACGTTCACGTCCACTTAATAATTATAATGGATATTTTTAGCGCGCCATTTTCCACCCACTGATACATGCTCAAGGCGCTACATAAAAGCATACATACAATGCATACAGAGGATAAAATAGCAAAATAAGTATGCATTGAAATTGTTGACAGAAAGATTGATTTTAGGGATAGGGTTTGGAAAAAAAGAAAGTCTTCAACTTAGTTTTGAAAGTTTCCAATGTGCATGACTGCTTTATGTGGAGAGGGAGAGAATTCCACAGAGTAGGACCAGCGTACTGGAAAGATCTCTTGCCAAAAGAAAAAAGGAGAACTTTGGGAACGGAGAGAAGACATTGGTCTTGAGATCTGAGAGTTCTGGTAGGGGAGTACACAGTGAGAAGTTCAGAGAGATATGAAGGAGCTTGATTATGTAAACATTTTTACACAATGCAAAGAAGTTTGAAGTCAATCCGAAACTTGATTGGAAGCCAGTGTAATGATGAGAGTACAGGGGTGATATGGTCTCGTTTAGTGACATGTTAACAAACTTTTCAAATCTTGAAAATGAAATTCAAGTGGGCATTAAATATGTTACATCACTGACAGAGAGTATTTGTATACAGCATGTGTGTATGTGATTAACAGAAGAGCTGCTATCTCCTGACCCAAAGATTATTTTATCGAAACCAACCATGGGGGAGGGTTGTACTCAAGTGTACAAAAATATGTCACACACCTGTGATATGCTATGAATTCATTTGCAATCGACATGCGAAAAGAAGAACAGTTTAAGTTAATCCTGGTTTATAAGATATGTGAATAAAATAACATAAAACACTTTGAATTATTTGATGGCCAGTGATCGATGTTATTAGTTACTCTAAGCTAGGTCGGTGACTCCTTACACATTTTTCGTATGACATTTGACCACAGTCAAGGTTAGATATTGCGACTTAGATTTCTATTATTTTTTTGTGTATTGTTAAAATAAAACTACCGACAACAAACGAAGTATGTGAAAAAAGGACTTTTCATAAGTATCACGAAGATGGTGTAGCTTTTATCTCACGTGGAAAAGGCTCCACCTTTGAAAATATCTCCTTTTTTCCACGTCATTAATCTGAGATACATATTAATTCACGAAACACTCAATATAATCTCTCTAAATAGTGGGCGATGAGGTAAAAGCAGTAGTTAAAGCGTTCGCTCGTCACGTCGAAGACCTGGGTTCTATTCCTCACATGGGTACAATGTGCGAAGCCCATTTGTGATGTCCCCCGCCGTCATGTACCTGGAATATTGCTAAAAGCGGCGTAAAAACATTCTCACTCGCTAAATCTGTAAATAGCAAATAAAAGTCGAAAAAGATTGGCAGTTCCGAATGTAAACATTCGTCCGTGTTTCTGTCCCCTGAATGACTAATTCATTGACGATATATACTGGATTGTGAGGGGCGGCCACTGTTTCAGTATGCGTATAAACAAAGAGATCCGGCTCAGCTTCTCACGTGCATCAACTCACATGTATTAATGATCATCCAACAGTGAATGCTCATTTCTGTGTCCTTCACGCATGAGTGAGTTAGTGAGTTTAGTTTTACGACGCACTCAGCAACATCAGCTATATGGCGGGGTATGTAAACAATCGAGTCTGGACCCCTTCACATGACATCAAGAAATATGCGCTCAATGATCTAATGGAAACAAATGCCAAAAGAAGTGTAAAGGGTCATCTATCAATAGCATTCCTGTACTTGATGTCTAAGAATAAGTCATAATAGAGTATACCTAGAACCACGTCCAAGAAGTGAGGATACTTCTATAAACCCAGTGAAAACGTCATATTTTTATATATAAGTGTAAAATTTCTACAAACCCAGTACCACGTTCAGTGTTTATAGCTTTGAGAACACCGATATACACCGTGTCTTGTGTTCAAAGGGAGGTGGGGTGGTCCAGTGGTTCGCTCGTCACGCCGATGGCCCAGTTTCGATTCCCCACATGGGTACTATATGTGAAATCCATTCCTGATGTCTGCCGCCATGATATAACTCAATCTTGTGTTCAAGGGACAGACCATTATACCACAGCAGTGGGGTGAGGAGGTTCCGCGTTTCAACTACGTATAACATAACCACATATATTACAATGTCAGACTTCAGACTGACTGACTGACTGAGTTTGGTTTTAGACTTCAGAGAAACACAAAGCTCAAATATAGTGAGGAAGAGGTTCAACAGCAGCGGGTACATCATCCGTTGTACAGCACGCCCAGTGCATCATCCCGTGTACAGCAGGCCCAGTACATCATCCTGGTGGTACGAAGCACGCCCGGTACATCATCGTGTGTACATCATCCCGTACAGCACGCATGGGACCTCATCCGGTGCACAGCACACCCAGTACAGCATCCGTGTGCATTGCGCATAGAGTGCATCATCCGGTGTACAGCGCATGGTCACATACATCATCCCGTAAAACAGTACGCCCGGTGCATCATCGCGTGCGCGGCGCAATTCTGTACTGACGTTCGGGTGTTTGGCGCGCGATTTTGGCAAATCGTGTGCGGCATCCGCGGTGTACGGTGCGCCCAGTTCGGCATCCACGTGCGTGCAGCTTGCCCAGTGCATCATCCGGTGTGCAGCGCATGGTGGTGCATCATCCGTTGTACGGCATCATCCGTTAGTACGGGCATCGTGTCAATGCGGCATCCTGTGTGCAACAGCGCCCGGTACAGCATCCGTTAATTGCAGCCGCACTGGGGAATTACAGCATCGTTATTGCGTCATCCCGTGCCTGGTGCGTGCAGTGCAGCGTCCGTTATTGCAACGTGCCCAGTGCAGCATCATCCGTTGGCCGGCGCATGCCCAGTGCCATAATCCCTGTACATCAATCCGTGTACATCAGCCCGTTTACGGCACGCCCAGTTCGGCATCGTGTGTACGGCGTACCGTGTTGCGGCGTCCGGTGCATCATCCAGTGCGAAAGCGCGCCCAGTGCATCATCCAGTGTACGCAGCGCATGAGATACATCATCCCGTGTGTACAGCGCACCCAGGACAGCATCCAGTATACAGCATGCCCAGTGCATCGATTTCCGTGTGGCGGTCGTGTAGTAAGATTATCCCGTGTACAGCACGCCCAGTGCAACATCCGTGTACAGCGCGCCCAGTAGAGCATACCGTGCTGCAGCACGCCCAGTACATCATCCCGTGTATAGTAGCGCGTAGTACATCATCCCTGTACAGCACATGGTACATCATCCATCCCGTGTACAGCACGCCCAGTACATCATCCAGTGTACAGCATGCCCAATACAGCATCCCTGTACAGCACGCCGAGTAACAGCATCGTGTACGGCATCTCTTTGTAACAGAACGCCCATAGTACAGCATCCGTGTTACAGCGTACGTACAGTACAGCATCATGTGTATTGGAACCCGGTGTACAGCACGCCCAGTACACCATCCCGTGTACAGTACGCAGTACATCATCCCATGTACAGCACGCCCGGTGCAGCAACCTGTGTACAGCACGCCCAGTACAGCATCCGTGTACAGCACGCCAAGTACACCATCCTGTGTAACAGAAAGCGCCCAATTACATCATCCAGTGTACAGCACACCTAATACATCATCCGTGTACATCATCCCGTGTACATCATCCAGTTTACAGCACGCCAAGGTACAGCATCGTGTGTACGGCATACCATATACATAGCATGCCCAGTAATATCATCCGTGTACAGCACGCCCAGTACACATCATCCTGTGTAGAGAGCATGCTCCAGTACATCATCGTGTACAGCACGCCCAGTACATCATCCGGTGTACAGCACGCCCAGTACACCATCCCGTGTACAGCACGCCCAGTACAGCATCCTGTGTAGAGCATGCCCAGTACATCATCCCGTGTACAGCACGCCCAGTACATCATCCCGTGTACAGCACGCCCAGTACATCATCCCGTGTACAGCACGCCCAGTACATCATCCTGTGTACATCACGCGCAGGACAGCATCGTGTGTACGGCATCCCGTGTACAGTACGCCCAGTACAGCATCCTGTGTAGAGCATGCACAGTACATCATCCCGTGTACAGCACGCCCAGTACGGCATCCCGTGTACAGCACGCCCAGTACATCACGCACAGTACAGCATCGTGTGTACAGCACGCCCAGTACATCATCCCGTGTACAGCACGCCCAGTACATCATCCCGTGTACATCATCCCGTGTACAGCATCGTGTGTACGGCATCCCGTGTACAGCACGCCCAGTACAGCATCCCGTGTACAGTACGCCCAGTACAGCATCCCGTGTACAGCATGCCCAGTACATCATCCCGTGTACAGTACGCCCAGTACAGCATCCCGTGTACAGCATGCCCAGTACATCATCCCGTGTACAGCACGCCCAGTACATCATCCCCTGTACATCATCCCGTGTACATCATCCCGTTTACGGCACGCCCAGTTCAGCATCGTGTGTACGGCATCCCGTGTACAGCACGCCCAGTACAGCATCCCGTGTACAGTACGCCCAGTACAGCATCCCGTGTACAGCATGCCCAGTACATCATCCCGTGTACAGCACGCCCAGTACATCATCCCCTGTACATCATCCCGTGTACATCATCCCGTTTACGGCACGCCCAGTTCAGCATCGTGTGTATGGCATACCGTGTGCAGCACGTCCAGTACATCATCCCGTGTACAGCACGCCCAGTACATCATCCAGTGTACAGCACGCCCAGTACATCATCCCGTGTACAGTACGCCCAGTACAGCATCCCGTATACAGCGCGCCAAGTACATCATCATCCTGTGTAGCACGTGCAGTACATTATCCATGTACAGCACGCCCAGTACAGCATCCGTTGTACAGCACGCCCAGCAGAGCATCCACGTGTACAGCACGCCCAGTACATCACCCCGTGTATAGCACGCGCAGTACATCATCCCGTGTACAGCACGCCCAGTTCAGCATCCCGTGTACAGCACGCCCAGCACATCATCCCGTGTATAGCGCGCGCAGTACGTCATCCCATGTACAGTACATCATCGCCCAGTACATCATCCCATGTACAGCACGCCCAGTACATCATCCCGTGTACAGCATGCCCAGTACCATCCCGTGTACAGCACGCCCGGTACAGCATACGTGTACATCGGCATCTCTTGTGTACAGCACGCCCAGTACCCAGGATCCCGTGTACGGGCACGCACAGTACATCATCCATGTACGGTACGTAAATCCCGTACAGCACGCCCAGTACAGCATCCCGTGTACAGCACACCCCAGTACATCATCCCACGTACAGCACGCCAGGTACAGCATCCTGTGTACAGCACGCCCAGTAATAGCATCCGTCCTGTACAGCACGCCCAGTACACCATCCCGTGTACAGCACGCCCAGTACATCATCCGTTTACAGCACACGCAATACATCATCCCGTACATCATCGTACATCATCCCGTTTACGGCACGCCAAGTGCATCGTGTGTATACCATATACGCCGTACATCATCCCGTGTACAGCACGCCCAGTACATCATCCGTGTACAACACGCCCAGTACATCATCCCGTGTACAGCACGCCAAGTACATCATCCTGTGTACATCACGCACAGTACCAGCATCGTGTGTACGGCATCCCGTGTTACAGTACGCCAGAAATGCCACAGCATCCTGTATAGAGCATGCCCATTACATCATCCTGTGTGTACAGCACGCCCAGTACATCATCCCATGTACAATAACACGCCCAGTACATCATCCCAGGTACAGCATCGCTGAGTACATCATCCTGTGTACATCACGCACGAACAGCATCGTGTGTACGGCATCCCGTGTACAGTAAGCCCAGTACAGCATCCTGTGTAGAGCATGCACAGTACATCATCCCGTGTACAGCACGCCCAGTACGTCATCCCGTGTACAGCACGCCCAGTACAGCATCCAGTCTACAGCACAGTAAAGTACAGCATCGTGTGTACAGTATCCCGTGTACAGCACGCCCAGTGCAGCAATCCTGTGTACGGCATCCCGTGTACAGCATCCCGTGTTGTTTAGGAGGAGCTGGCGCATACCCGTGTTGTTTATTATGTATAAGATAACCACATCTAGTACAATATCAGACTTCAGAGAAACACAAAGCTCTAAACACAGTGTGGAAGGGGGTACATCAGCGGGTACATCATCCCGTGTACAGCACGCCCAGTACATCATCCCGTGTACAGCACGCCCAGTTCATCATCTCGTGTACAGCACGCCCAGTACATCATCCCGTGTACAGCGTAGCACAGCAACCTGTGTACAGCACGCCCAGTACAGCATCCTGTGTACAGCACGCCCAGTATGGCAGCCTGTGTACACATCACGCCCAGTACAGCATCCTGTGTACAGCACGTTCACAGTACATCATCCCGAGTACGGCATCCCGTGTACAGAACCCTTTGTACAGCATCCTGTGTACGGCATCCCGTGTACAGCACCCTTTGTATCCAGCATCCTGTGTACAGCATCCGTGTACAGCATCCTGTGTACGGCATCCGTGTACGGCATCCCATGTTTAAACAGCAGTCAGTGACCTATCCTGTTTATGATTGATTGGTTGGTTGGTTGTTTTAAAGCTGCCCTAAGCAATATTCCAGGTATATAGCGGCGGTGTGTAAAATAATAGAGCCTGGACCAGACAATCCAGTGATCAACAGCATGAGGTTCAATCTACGCAACTGGAATATAATGACGTAGTGTCAAGCAAGAGAGAGGGTCTGACCACCCGATCCTTTTCGTCGCCTCTTACGACATGCATCTGATTGTACTCACACTGCAGTGCCACCGGCGTCATCGTCCCTGTTTCACGTCTGTTGGTTTCACGCCCAGCTTCTGCAACATATATCCTGGCTGCATGTCGAAGAATCACGGAAAAAGCACATGCTAATATATATTTGAAAGTATAAACTGAATTTGGTTTTAAGAATTATAGTAGGTTTAAAGATCGGGGTACTGCTATTTTGAACACACCATCACATCTACCAACTCAAATTCTCAGTCCATTTAATTCCCGAAGTGGTTTTAATGGTCAACTTCAGTTCAACTTGCTGTTCATTTCAGCTGCTGTCCATTTCTAAATGGTTACTGATGATGTATAAAATTACAATGTAGCCTTATCAAAACATCGTGTCAA